ATGCAGAGAATTTACCTGAGGAACCCTGACTGGTCAAATTCCTTGTTTGCATGCGGTGATATCAAAATGCAGGCTTACTGTGGTGGCTGATGAACAGAGGGAATGCAGTATAGGGGCTGGAATCGTTTATTAATTCCTCCAAACCCTACAGGTCACCTGTAAGAAGAAGTGCTAGCATTCGTGATGGATTCGTTCTGCAAGGGCCGAAGCCAAATGCGGGTTTCATAAGAGTTCAAGGTCACGACTTTGGGGGCTCCTATACATAAACATCAGAATACTTGCGGATCTGTACGGAGGACCCCCATTTTTGTTGGCATGCCTGTCAATGCAGCAAGCTGCAACCCCCACTTTCCTTGAGCAGGGTTTGTAAGGGCCTGATGTGCTGAGGACCCTCCCATTTGGGAGTACCCTATAGTACTAGCAAAAGTGTACGGATTTTGAGTCTGGTCGGTCTTTCTAGCTTGTCTTTGATAAATTGGATACAAGCTTACTGCCAGCATACTGCTCTTTCTGAGAGCCCTGTCACTCCCGCACGGGCGCAGGTCCCGGATGCATGGTCCTGGACTGCACAGCTTCCTCCCGTCGCAGAGTTCGTGGGTCCAGTGGAGATTAGGCAGGATGGTTTTGGATACTGGGCTTGGGTCTTTGCACCTGTTGGGTTCCCAGTGTTTGGGGATTGGGGTTGGGGCGGTTAATAGCTTGATTAGGGGAGTCAGCACAGGGATTTGAGCTAGAGTTCTGTTGAAGCAGCTCAGTTCCAAACCTACAGCCCTCATCAGGGAGCTTTGAACCCTGAACAGATGCACACCAGCAAAGTAAAGCTGTTAAGGTCGCGAATCATGTCGAAATTTTCGACAGGTGGAACGACGGTTGCGAGCGCGGGCTTTTCGCCACCCGCCATATCTTCCCGGGTCGCTTGCCATTTTGGTTAGTTTTCAAGGGTTCAACGGACACACACATCTGAGAGCACGTTATGAGACCAAAGACGGAGGCATCGCATGTGAGACCGAAAAGTATGAATGTTCTTGTCATACTGTTGACGCTCAAATCCTGCATGAGCTTGGTGCTTTTGAATGCCAATGTAGAAGGTACATTGGGTGTCTTGATTTTTGGACTCAACCGCAGTGTGGTGGCTCTCCGAAGATTTTTCTGAGGGCCGATTGTAAATGGGGGTTTGCCTTCGGGTCCTACAATGCCCAACATATACACCCCATGCTATGACTCATCCCTGCCCACGAGAATACCCACCTTCTTTGATCCTAGAAATAGTACGAAGTCAGTGCCACTTTTGTCTAGGTGAACATGTGGCAGTGGGAGCGCATCATGACTGGGGGAGGGTAAAAAATTAAGGTCTTACAGCAGCCGTGTATGATCAAGCCTTTTCCTGACCCCCATGGGCTGTTCTTGAGCCCAACCCTAAGCCCGAAGCCCCTCAGCTTACCTAAAGTTGGAAGTACGTGCAGGCATGTTTATCTTACTGCTGGTTAGTAGGGTCGTTGAGAAAAACTCCAGGCCTGTTCAGGTGTTTAATTGGCATAACAGCCCTTCAGCAATTACCTCCCAATGGCTCGTCGAAGCTAAAACATCTAAATCTGAATTATAAGCTTCTTATGCCAAACATAAAGCCAGAACCTGAAGCCATCTTAAGCTTGAGCCTTCCTGGCTATCTGAAATCGGGAGGACAGTCCCCAAATCTCACCTCTAACTCTAGATGCAGTTTAGGGTTCAGGGTTTCTGGTAGTTTCCCTAAATAGGGGGACCCAATATCAACCACAACATGAGATGTTCCTGATTATGGGGAACCCCTACGTACACCGAATTTTGGGAAACCCATAAATCCTTATAATCCCCTATATATCCCTATATAATTTTATGACCCCTATATATCTCCCTACAGCCCCCCTAAACCCGAAACCCTAAACCCTAAACCCCCCTACAGCCCCTTTAGAGATTCATTCGCAGGAGAGGTGCTTCTGCTTTCACGGCCTCTGGCCGTGCACAGTGGGGCCTGGGCTACTTTGCTCTTCTTGGCTTAAGATGGGGTTTAGGGTTTAGGGTTTAGGGCTTAGGGTTTCCTATAGTTAGGGGTACTGTTTTGGTTGTCCCCATAATCTGGACTATAGTATTTTGGGGTTTATGTTGGGGTCCCCCTATTTTGGGGAACTACCAAATGTAAGGCAGGGGCCAAAAAATAGATACCAACGTTTTGGTCCTGGCTGCCTTGTACATCTGTGGTATAAGGTACCTCAAATGAGCTGTAGTCTAAACTCTTAAAGGGCTTGATATGGGGGATTATATAGGAGACTATTACAGGGGATAATAAAGGGGAATACCAGGAGCTTAGACTATAGCTCAAATAGACCTCAAAGTGATATTCGTGTTTGGGGCTATTTACTGTGTAGCTTGGAGGGTTCAGGATAAAGGATCCATGCGTCTTGTGCAGACGACGCTCATCGAAATGCTGGCCTAAAGGGTACCAGAATAGTCATTATTGCCATATATATAGGGGTCATGACATTATATAGGGATATGTAGGGAATTATGAGGATTTATGGGTGAGAATGGTTAAACACTACCAGGACATGTCATCACTCAATTAAATATTCAACACCTCCTCGCCCCCTGATTTTTGAAGACTCTTGATAGGAGCCCAGATATGCTGGGGCATGTATTTGGTTTGAGGGAGTCTTTAATTGCATCACCAGCATGACATCCCGTACCTGAGGCCGAAAGCTAAACCCTAAGTCGTGTTTTGTTGGCTGTTGGGGAGAATAATCGTAATAATGTTGTAGTAGTAGTAGTAGTAGTAGTAGTAGGAGGAGTAGTAGTAGTAGTAGTAGTAGGAGTAGTAGTAGTAGTAGTAGGAGTAGTAGTAGTAATAGTAGTAATAGTACTAGTAGTAGTAGGCGC